AGAGGCAGAGCAAAGAGACTTTTTTTTTTTTTCCTGAGCACTTGTTGCTCTTTAGATGCTATCTACGGTGAAGATTTAAATTAATATTGCTAGCTATATGCTCTACATATTATGGTTTTATAGAGTGTTGTCTTGGTTGCTAGCTACTTTAGATGCTGGGGTTAAGCAAATTGTTGTCTTAGCCACCAACCACATTAGTAGTATAAGCTCTAACTTTTTGGCTTTTTTCTCCCCATTTCCTCTTCGGAAAACTGTTTCTTGGGTAGATGTGATGTGCTATGCTGCTAGGTTAAATTACCCTAGATGTTGTTTAGCCCATTAATCCCAAGGATGCATTTATACCCCTCTTTATACCTCTCTTTTCCTTATTGACTCACTCACATATGGTTATAGACTGCTTACTTACCAACTGAATGGTGTAAGACCGGAATCCTGAGTCTTAGGAGTAGATTTGAAAAGACCTAGAAGGTCTTTCTCCTGCTCCCCCATATACTCTTGGTTTAACAGATGTCACTCTTTCAAGTGAAATTCAGGTGGTAATTTATGTGCATCTAGTGCCCTCCTCTCTACTTTTAAAATGATCAACTATTCTGTGAAAGGCCATATATTGCCAAATGTTGTTACAAATGAGTTTATAAATAGGAATGTGGCTGCTGAGCAGAAGATCCTGTGGTCTTCAGTTGAACCATCACCATCTCCTAGAATAAGCACAGTGGATAAAGGATTCCATCTGGACTGACTTGCAGTTCGCTGGACTTCGTAATAACTTTCCTGGGGTATATGTTCTTTCAAAATACTTAAAGCCATTTCCTGAGATACAGCTAGAGCAGTGATGCAAGTTGGGTTCTCCTTCCTCTCACTAGACAAGAGAAACTTTGGTAGGAAAATAGATCATCTGTAACTTTTCTTTTAAAGATTATTTATTTGAGAGAGAGAGAGAGAGCATAAACGGGGGGAGGGGCAGAGTTAGAGGGAGAGGGGAAGCCGATTCCGAGCTGAGCATGGAGCCCATCATGGGGATCGAACTCACAAGCCTGAGATCATGACCTGAGCTGAAACCAAGAGCCAGTCACTCAACCGAATGAGCCACCCAGGCGCACAGGACATCTGTAACTTTTAACTATTGGCTGAAAGTTAAATATTAAATATAAGATCTGATAAATTTAAACTTAGAGACTAAAAGTAAGGGTTATGTTTCCATGTTAAGAACCATCATATTTGATTCTTTGATAAGCAAATTAAAAATCTCTAAACAGGATCCACCCATTTTGGAGAGTTTTAAGTAAATATGTATTGGTAATGACATCTTTGTACTTAAATTTCATGATATGACACCATTAATTTTTTTAACTGTGGAAGAGGGATTACATTAAATAAAAAAACAGGTATAGAATTTGCATGCCAGTAACTTCAGATGTTTAAGAATAAAATGCAATTAGTATGGCTTTAAATTTGACCAATTAAATTCTGCAGAACATCTGCATATCTCCAGGGGACATGGACACTAAGTTATTAGAATTTTGTTTTTGATTAGGCATCTCTGACTGGCCATGTGCACATTTTATGTTTTTAGTTATAAACTGTAAGTCTTTAGATTTGAAAACATAGTGATTTTTTGTAACTGGATGTAATTATTCCCAACAGGCTTTGAATCAACTTCTTAGCAATGTTTTACAGATTACTTTACAAGATTTATTTTGTTTTACAGATTACTTTAAAAGAAGCTGTATATAAGAGGCTTAATCATATAAAAAGATTCTAAACTCAATCATTTTTCTTTTTGACTTAGTTTAGATTATTTCTACTTGATCTGTATTTTCTACTTTCTAAAGCTAAAAGCTGCATTTTCCTTAGTGCCAAAGTATGTGTTTCAAAATCCATCCTAAGTTAGGTGCATTGGTTTAGAGTTACCCTGTTGCTACTGATTTAAAAAGAAAAAGAAAAAAAATCTGTGAATCTGCCAAGTGTGGGGGTAAAAGTTGGAAGGGGACTTTTATGCTGTTGGAGGGAGATAGATCAGCATTGTCAGAAGATTTGGAATAGATTACTGGTATAGTCAGTTCTTGAGTGTGAAATACCACACTGTCTAATAGAACATTTTAGAAGAAAATTAATAAAAGATGAATGCAAGGAAAAATGCATCTTCATGAAATAGAGAGTAATTTCAGCTGTTTATTCAAGGACTTTAATTTTTACTTCATAAAAATTAGTGTTCTGAAATTTTATGAAACTGAAGTGAACCCGAAAATGTCCTAATTCCTAGTTTTTAAGAAGTCTGGAAGGCATGACCAAAATTAAGTCAATTTGTAATTCTTAGCACTTGGTATCTGTCTCTTAAGAAGCACAGTTCCTTATAGTGACTATTCTCTGTTGAATGAGTGAATGAATGAATGAATGAATGACTTGTCAACCACATTTCAGTGGCATGTTCAGTTTGTGTACTATGTAATTTTAAACTAATTACTGGATCCCACCAAAAAGCAAAATAGCCTTAAAAATAAAGATCCAGAACAAAGATATGAGATTATGGATACTTTTTATTTTGTTCCTTGTGATTTTATTTACTTTCCAAATTTTCAACAATAAATGTTATGTAGTTAAGTTTTTCAAGATACATACATGGTTACAATTTATCTTAGGATCAAATATAAATCTCACCTCTAGTAACTAATTTCTCACCTGCGATTCAAATTGAAGAGGCCTTGCTTTTACATTAAAGGCTACTTTTAAAAAACTAATGTAATTATAACCAAATGACATTTCTAGCGTTAATTTAAAAGAAGTAGAACTTTGTCTTAACCTGTAGAAACAACTGATGTTTCTGACACTGAGGCAAAGTAACATCAGTTCCATTTTATAGTGCTGAAAATGTTTATTCTTTCCTGAAAAACAACCAAGTTATTAAATTGAATGACAACTTCCTTATTGCAAATGTAATCAGATTTTTTATTATTAAATATAATGATCAAAGATGGGTAAAGTTGTGTAAGTCCTCTGTGTAAGTGGGTGGTTTGCGTCTCCCTCTCCAAGTATAATCATATTTGAATGACTTTTAAAAAATGACTATGTTAACTTACAAAAATAATCCCCTGCTCTCCCTGATAGGAACAACATATTGAACTGGGTGAATAAATATTCTGAGCCACTGTGGCAATTGGTAGTTGAATCCTATGACTAATGGTAGTGATTTTTGTCTAGGTGGATCACATGGACTTAGTTATCTGCCCACTGGAATGACACAATGGAGAGATATCTGATGAATATTGTGGAACATCTGTGAATGGATCACAGCTATGCATGATGTGAATCATTCTTCCCTCAAAAATCTAAAGTTTAATGGTTAAAAAATTCCAAACTGTTGTCACATAAACTGAGATTTGGCCTATTCTAGGGGTTAGGAGGGAATGAATACAACACATATTCTAAAATATTTTGCCAGTAAGTTGTTGGCTATGTTTTAGACCCCTAAATTTAGGAAAACCTAAAAATTTATTGAAAGAGATGAGTAAAAGTCTTGGGTCACTGCAAATAGTAAAATATAACTTCTTCAACTGCTCACCACCACCACGGAGACTACAGGACTTAATAATTTTCTCAATCAGAGTCCTAGATTCCCCTATCTTGCTTTAGTTAAAAGTATGCATAGCATGATGTCTGAGGCACCCCTACTTCCAGAATATCCATGACTCTTAAAAGGACGTTGGGGGAAGCACTGGTATATGACAGTTTTCTTTACTGAATGATCCTAGTGCACATTGATTTCCCTAATTTGAGATTAAAGTCTTTTCTTTAGGGTACTATTAAAAGCAGCTGAAAAAAAAAAAAAGTAAAACTGTGGGTTTGTGTGGGGCTAGCTAGGTGTGAAGCTGTGGTTTCCTGGATATTGCTAATGTTGTTTTTATAACTCTGTCTGGAAAATTTAACTTACCTGGTTATAGAGATGGGGTGAGGAAATAGGGGGGTAGTTTATGCTTTTATTTCTAACTCCAGGAGTAACCTGCTACCTCTATATGATCTGAAACATATAGCATTGTTTTTAGTTTTACTTTTTTTCTGATACCTTGGTATACCTGGCTTTGCTTCTTTAGATTCCTTGACACTAAAGAAAAAATGAGACGGCTTAAGGTCTACTCACTCAGGGATGTTTACAAATAACAGTATGTTTGTGTGTGTCTTTGTATTTTGTGAAATGTGAGCAAGTTGTGGTGGATATCTTTGCCAATAAATAATAAACATATATATAGAATTTTACAAATTTTATAATGAGAATTTTTTAGCAGTGGCAAACAGGTCACACAGACTAATTTTTAAGACTGAGGTAATAATCTTCTGAGTTATTATTTCAAGGAATATATATATATCTGTTTGACAGTGGTGTAATCAACAGGGGGCCAACTCGGTTAAAGCAAACAGACCAATGCAGTCTAAAAGAGGCCTACTGCAATCTCTAAATTCTAGACTTTGTGGGCTTTTAGAAAAATAAATCTATAAATGGAAGAAAAAGAATGAAATGTGTGAATGTGATATGTTCCTAACAAAGATTAAATTGATGGAATTTGTCCTACAAAATATCAAAAAATAAATTTGTCCCTATTGTCTTATTTTTAAATAGATATATAATGATTGTTTTGCATTGAAATGTATATTCATACATTTTATCTGATGATATTTTGGGAAGATGAAGTTTTTTGTTGTTTTTTTTTTAAGGTAAGCACGAAGAAGAATATACAAATGGGAATACTAATTGTTTAAAATTACCAATAGTTTCTTTTCTGAACTTGAAAACAGTTATGTTTCTAAATATAAGAACAATAATTTTGCCTAAAATTGCAGTATAATGACCAGGACTTCTCTCCTTTTTAGAGAAGCAGTCAAGTGTTTCTGGAACAGATAAGACAGCAGCGATCCAGTGAGGTTGATTCCCCAGAGGAAAGCTATGCATACCTAACTTACTGGAAAGTAAACTACTCTTCAATTAATGATGTCCTCCTTTTCTCAAGGTGTCCAAAGACAGGAGGTGGTCTGTAAAAGATTGGATGACAACTCTATTGTCCAGAACAATTACTGTGACCCTGAGAGTAAGCCACCTGAAAATCAAAGAACCTGCAACACTGAGCCCTGCCCACCTGAGTAAGTAAGAGTAAGAAGTGAGAATTATTTTCTTTAAGAGAAAAACACTTAGCTATTCATATTTGGAAACATATTCATATATAAGGAAAGGGGGATAAAGCATTTTGGAGGGTAGAATTTCGATATCCCTCTCACGAGCAAAGATTCTTATTTATCCATAGGTTTTAGTTATTAATTCCTTTAAAGCAGGAACTTCAGTAGATTGATCCTGGCATAATGCTGGAAATTATCAGATTTCATCTTGGAGATTGAGATTCATCTTGCAATTGATAGTGTGTTACTTACAATAATAATCAGCATTATTTTATCTTTTTTATGGTCTATAAAATAATGGTATCTTAAATTCAGTAAAACACAGTAAATTGGTGTGCAGTCATATCTTTTCCAGATATTTATCCTAAAGGTCTAAAGACTCTTAATATGTTTTGGAAACATTCTGTAATGGAATATCAGAGCTTTAATTTGCTGACCCAGTTTTAAGTTCTGTCACCCTAAGTCATCCTATCTTCTGGGTGCTGGGCACAGGCGTAGAGGTGGACTTCAGTCTCATTCTGTTGATTAATGTAGCAGTTACAGCTCACTGTAAAGGGAGGCACAAGCTTACAGCCCATTCATCTTAATGATGACTTTTTAAAAATTTAAATTTAACAATATGGACCTGCTGTCAGTGAGTCACACTTTATAATCTGTAAGAACAGAAAGATTTCTGGGCTGAGCAAAAAGCATGATTAAGGGCCCCTGGCTGACTCAGTTGGTAGAGCATGCAGCTCTTGATCTCAGGGTCATGAGTTCAAGCCCCACGTTGGGCGTAGAGATTATGTTTAAAAAAATTAAAAAGAAAAAAGGCAGTGATTACATGAGAAAAGACAAAGATGCTGAAGACAAAGATACCGAGTTGATCATGATCTTTGTAGGGCTTTTGCCTGTTTGACAACTGCAAGACAGAACATGTGTGAATGGCATTTCATCCTTGTTTGAGAAATCAGGGTAACCATTATCTCCTTGGTTAACTAATTATCCCAATTGGAAATTAATAAGGAAAAAGAGTATGCAAATGGATTTATATATCTCAAGTTCTTAGAACTGAAGAGGAAAGCTGTACATGCAGTAACAACAGAGGAATTACAATAAAGGATTTATGTCCCTAATGTGGTTAAAGCAAGATGTGTTCATTATCTTTGTTTCAATACAATAATGCCTTATCAACTTTCATTTCCCAAAGTCAGTGTCTGTCCAGATATTTGAATCTTAAAGGGAGATATTCACTGGTAGTCTCTTGAAACAGTTTAGGCCAGTGACTACCAAACAAGGAGCACAAGAAATCTAGAGTGAAAGAAGTTTTTATTCTAGGACCTTTATTTTTTTTAAGATGTTATTTATTTATTTGAGAGAGAGAATGTGTGCATGCACGAGAGAGAGCAAAAGAGCACAAGCACAAGCAGGGGGGAAGGGCAGAGGAAGAGAGAGAAGCAGACTGCCCTGCTCCATCCCAGGACCCTGGGATCATGACCTGAGCTGAAGGCAGACGCTTAACCAACTGAGGCACCCAGGCGCCCTATTTTAGGACTTCTAAAATTTCATGTTTCTTCTTTTCAAAATCTGATCATTATATAACTAATTTCTTAAAATCCAGACATGGGAAAGTATAGAAATATGACATGTATTACATGTATGATATGTATTACAAAGACATTTGATTTTTAAAAAATTTTTCTCCTTTCTGCCAATTATTTTTATACATTTAACTCAAAAGAAATGGGAAAACTATATAAATTCTAAAAGCTGCATAAAAACCATGGGCAAAATTTTGTTCCTTCCCATATTTCCAGTAACTTTCAACATTATTTTCATATAATTGTACATCTCAACTCATCAAGTTAATTTCCTGACACTCAGGATTTTAAGTATTATGTTTGGTATTTGATCAGCCATTTAAGACCTCTGAGTGGTCCTGGTCACAGCTGTTCTATTTTAGCTTCAACTTTTTTATTTGTTTCAGCTTAAATGCTATTTGAACGCCCTTTGAGATTGCAGTGGTTTGTCATTCCATGCCATGTATTGTGGGCTTGGATATTACATTGTTTTTGTATGTGTGTGTGTGTGTGTGTGTGTGTGTGTGTGTGTATGTGTGTATGTATACCTATGTATATACTATACATAGGTATACATATAGTTTAAGGGTAACTGACATTTAAATTAACATATGTCATTAAAATTAAGTTTCCTATCTCCTTTCCTTTTGTAATTCTAAAATAAAAAATTATTTATTAACTTTTTTTAAGTTTGGAGGCAAGAGGATGGAATTTGAAAAAGAGAGATAAAGAGAATATGAAAAAGAAAATTTGGGCTGACTTTTTCAGAAAGAGTTAAAAATAGATATTTAAAATATTACTATTTATTAGTCCATTTTTTCTTAGTTCCTTTTTAATTTCTTTTTTATTCTTTTGAATTCAGACTATGAAAAGGAAAATCTCAATTCTTCAGAATGGTGGTTGTATATCATAAAATTCCCAGTAGACATTGGTTTTCTAGAAATAAAAATCATTGGAAGACTACTGAATTCAATAATACTTTAAATGAGTGTGGAAGAAAGGAAAGGAGATAAGTTTTTTTTCAGATGATGATGTGTTAATCATATTTGTTTTTTGTAATACATATTAAAGCATCAAGTTTTTAAAACACAGATAAGTAAAAATAAGAAAATAAAAAATACCTGTAATACTTAAAATACCACTGTTAATATTTTGAAGTATTTATATCCAGTCTTTTTTCTATGTTTACATAGACATGTATATATAACAAAATGGTATTATACTATTTCTGATGCTTTGTAGTTAGTTCCCAACATATTTTTTTTTAAAGATTTTATTTATTTATTTGACAGAGACACAGCGAGAGAGGGAACACAAGCAGGGGGAGTGGGAGAGGGAGAAGCAGGCCTCCCGCAGAGCAGGGAGCCCGATGCGGGGCTCAATCCCAGGACCCTGGGATCATGACCTGAGCCGAAGGCAGACGCTTAACAACTGAGCCACCCAGGCGCCCCAGGTCCCAAAATATTTTGAACATTAAATATCTACTATAACATTTAGTAGATATGTCGTTGCTTAATTAATTTGTTTTCCACTGTTGAACAATTTGGGCTGTTTCTTAGATTTTGATCCCTTAAGATACCACAGCATTAACAATTTTTGCTATTAAAACTTTGCTCTCTATATGTTCTTATGGCAAATAAATGGGAATAAAATTCCTTGTTCAAATGGAAATATATTTTAGTCTGTGAAACATTGTCAGATTGTTCTCCAGAGATAATGTATGAATATATATTCCCACTAACAGTGTATTAGAATGTCATTTCCCTGAACTGCACTACCCTGGATATTATTATTTTTATTTTATTTTATTTTATTTTATTTTATTTTATCTTATCTTATTTTAAGAGAGACTGAGTGAGCAGGGTAGGGGAAGGGGCAGAGGGAAAGGGAAAAAGAGATTCTTCAGCAGGCTCCATGCACAGTGTGAGCCCAAAGCAGGGCTTGATCTCACAACCCTGAGATCATGACCTGAGCCAAAATCAATAGTTGGACACTTAACTGACTGAGCCACCCAGGCACCCCTGGATATTATTATATTAGAAACAATCTTTGATTATGTTATGGGGAAAAAGCCTTGATACCTAATTGTTGCTTTATGTTGTATATCTTGGATTGCAGATGAGACTGAACATTGAAAAATTATGTTCAGTGGCCATTTGTATTATTTCTTTTTGCTTTTCGCCTCCATGGCCTAACCTATACCCTTTTTCTACTGAAGTGTTTATCATTTTGTTACTGATTTCTGTGAACTCTTAATGTATTAATGATATTAATTCTTTTACCTGTTTCAAATATTTTTTCCTAGTTTGTCATATATTTTCCATATTATTTATGGTTTTATGATCCATTTTTACTTATAGAAGTCTTAAATATTACATAGAAAAACTATCAAACCTTTCTTTCTTTCTTAGGTATAATGTTTAGGAAGATTGTACTTTCAAAGTTTCTTCTTCTTTTTTTAATGTAAACTTTAATCTATTTGAAATATATTTGCCTACTTTGAGGAAAGGATCTATATTTATTTTCAAATTCCCAGTACCATTATTAAAATTCCAAGTGGTATTTTTTAAATCAGAAATTATCTTTTTAAATAATGAAATACTTCAAATGTCTCCTTAGTCATATTGGAGACTTTATAAGGAGGGTATGAAAGAATAGAGGGCAGTAAGATTTATCTTTGTGCTTTATAAAGAAAATGATGGGACTAGGAAGAATAGATGAAGAGACATTGGTAGAGAAATATTAATAGTAAGTTTATTTGGAAGACCTTGAAGGGCAGAGGAAGCCTTGCTGGGAAAAAATTAATGTGCTCATAGCAGCAACTCTTTTGTGAGAAACAGTATAGTAGTCAAGATGGTAAAGTGACTAGGGACAGGAAAAAAACAAGAATTCAAGAGGCATTGAGTGAAAATGGTGGGATTCCTGACAAAGGCTTAAATAATTGGAAAAAGGAAAAGGGAGGGGTTGATATTAAAGACCATGACTGATAAGAAGCTAGTGCCCCACCATGAGAAAAGGAAGTAATGCTGAGCTGGAATCCAAAGAGAATGACCAAGAGTTCAGTTTTGACCATGCTATCTTTCTATGGCAAGAATGTTTCTATATATGGCCTCATGTGAAGAATTCTTGGATAGTGAATATTATTCCTGTATGATACTGTGGTTTTTAAAGTTGTGAAAATAAGAGGGGTGAAAACAATAGAGTATTATACATTGTGATAATACTGTGACCACGAACTAAATAACATTTTTTTAAGCAACTGCAATGTGAAAGGCATTGTGTTTTGGGAGAAATGGCTCCCTTGCCTAAGGACAATGTAATTGGGTAAATACATATAAAAATAACTATAGTTTAGGCAAAACATGTTCAGCACAATAAGAGAGTTATAAACAAAAGTGCTAAAGGATGCTTGGGCTGGGGAGAAATTTTTGCTCGGGTGTTAGGTTTTATTTCATGGTATCTTTTATGATATAATGTTTAACAATTATATTGAGTCATTGTACCTCACCCAAGGACAACTATAATCTGTTATTTTGAGTTTAGAGGAAGTTTCATCAGAGTCCTCTATAAAATTCCAGAATTTAAGAGCTGGGAACAATCATAGAAATCATGTAGGCCACCTCCCATCATGATGAGAGTATGCTAATCTCTGGTGATGTTTTCTCATTGTACACACATCACTGACATTGTAAGTTACAAATCAAATGTCTGGTGGCACCTAAATACTTACAATACTTAGTACTTGCTTGTTTCATTGCCACAATCTTAATTGTTGTAATTTCAGAGATGTTTATTAAATTCATTTTTTTTTCAATTTAGAAAAATCTCAACTGTGAAATGTCTAGGGCATAGAGGCTTATACTTGATATTAGTTTTACTTTCCAATTAGCTGAGGAATGAGCAGATTTTCTTTTTTACCAACTTAATGTTTAGCAATTTTTTCTAAAACCTATTTTAAAATCTAACAAAGTTCTAGTATCTTCATAAGTAATTAATAGGTTACGTATTTGAATCTCTCTTTGAGTAAAGATGTTATTGTGAGATTATGAAGATTTTTAAAAAATTTTGCTATGTTGGGCGCCTAGGTGGCTCAGATGGTTAAGC